ATTGAAAACAAACTAGGTTCATATCCTATTCACCATGACACAATTACAAAACAACCTCCTTGATTACAGGGGGCACGGGTGGCCCAGTCGTTTAAGGTGCCGCAATCCGCTGTGCAGAGTTGCGTCCTTTGGGCACGCCAGAAACCCAGGATCGTCGGTTCGAATCCCTGTTCGCCCGGATTATGTTTCTAGGTTTGTCAGCACCATACCCGTGCTCGTGGGTTTCACCGAAGTGGTAAACGTCTGAGACCTGCATCACTTCGGGCTTTCCTCCCACATGAAGCTGATACACCATATGACTGGAATAATATTCAAAACGGCGTTTAACCCAACTCACTGACCCACTCAGTTTGGTTTTTGGTTACTATTATGACGTCATAACAATCCTACGTATGGTGAGTCTAGGCATCGTGACACGGTAGATATTACGTCACAGTGATAGAGTAGCGTCAAAGGTGACACCGTGTTGATGTTACTTAATTCTATAATACACTCAAGTATTTATTCGTCAAATTTTCCGCCGTAAATACATTGTTACACTCGCTGTAGATAACATGGGAACCACATCACGTTTCGCAACGTTAAAGAAGTGCAAAAGTATGGAATACTGTAAGGGACATTCTCGCGATCTCGACCTTTGGAAACGAGCTACATATGCCAAAAACACGAGAGTGCGATTTTGTTTGTTTGTTTGTTGTTTAACGCCGCACTCAGCAATTTTCCAGCTACATGACGGCGGTCTGTAAATAATCGAGTCTGGACCAGACAATCCAATGCGAGATCGCGAGAATGTCCCTTACAGTATTCCATATGAAAGAGGTGCTTCTAAATATACATTTTCTTTCGCCGTAATGCGGACATCAGCATGATCAAACGTAGATTGAAACCTCTGCAGTTGTAGAATGTATGATGACAGTAATATGTCATTCATACTGACGCGTGTGAACACGATGTTTACACATTGAATTGCCCCGCTAACATAGAGTACAGTGTAGCATCACCACAGAGGGGTGGGGGGTGGGGTTGAGGGTTTGGGGGGGGGGGGGGGGGGGGGGGGGTGTTGTGGTTGTTGTCGGGTATGCCATCATTACTGCTTCCTGGATTATGATGTGATGTGATGTACTTAGCGCTTAGATATCGTCACTGTTATTGTGTCATTCTGCTATTCCGCATTTACATCAACACCTTAAGTATGTTAATAATAGGTTGTAACAAAATTAATTCTCATTTAATTATTGGGTTTTTAAAAGAAATAGAATTGTATAGTAAATTTTGATAACATGTCTTGTGTAAAATGAATGACCTTTTAAAATTGGTAGAATGAATTTAAATCTGAGTTTGTTACTGGCTGCATCCTCAAAGGGGGTTCACGTAGTGTAAAATTATGTCCTTCTGAGAGGATATTGTAAGTCGATATCATTCAAAGAATAGTTCTGCCTACTACTGTTTTAAACGTAGTATATTTGTAATTTTAATTTTGGCTCATTTTGCGTACAATTACCAGTTGCTGAAGGGATGATGTCAATCCTGCTGGGTTCCATGCAGGACGCTGAAGTACTATAAGTCCCCATGGTACCTAGTATGGTGATCTAACTTCAGCTGCTGGCGATCTACAGCCTGTTTTTATACTGTGATGTTATGTTTAGTGCTATCAATATTATGATTTCATACTAGTTTTAAGTCTACTTCTGTGATAATTCTAGTTATTTTACTGTCCTTCGTTTGCAGGTTTTATATAAGTAGTAATATATGTATAATGTTTACCTATTGATAGTCACGACATGGCTGAAATATTGCCGATGTGACTTAAATTTAACTCACTCACTAATAATGGGTTGTATGGATACATTCATTGCTTGAGCTTGTTCTGAATTATATGCCAGGTATTCTTTACGTTACCCACCTACACGATTCTTGTATACATACATGTGTGCACGTTGTTGAAGAACTGCCTAGCCTATTCATATCTGCGTCTAGTTATATTTTAGTTTCATGAATATTTAACCGCCTCCGTGGTCTAGTGGTAATACGTCCGCCCGGAGAGTGGAAGGTCCGGGGTTGATCCCCGGCCGCGTCATACCAAATGACATTAAAAGATGGTACTTGTTGTTACCCTGTCTGGCGCTCGGCATTAAGGGGCTAAAACAAGGACTGGTCGGCTCGGAGTCAGCATACTGTGTCTGAGTGGGGTATTCATGTTAAACTGCGGTATGGTATGTCAGTGGGCTAGCTGACACACACACACACACACGCAGACGTGCATGCACGTCGCTATATAAGTGCAATAATCTTGGACGCGACGTTAAACCCCATTACACTTCACCTTCATGAGCATTTCGTTCACGGTGAATAGTCTGTTTGTAAGACACGGGGCCTCGAGAACGGTCTCGTACATAGGGTCGGGGCGTGGCACACAGACGAGGGATTCACTCTAAACGTCATCTTGTATGGCTGTGATACTTGACGTGTGATGCTACTTGACGGGACGTGATGCTTGAGGTGCTTTGTGGAATCCTCGGTGGCTGAGTGGGTTAAATCGCTGACTTTGTGTTTTGGCGGTTAGGCGCTTCACTCTGGGAGTATGGGTTCAAATCCCGGACGGGAACTAACCTTAAAAAGTACAAGAACCTGTACTTTACTAAAAAAGGGTTATCCCACATATACTCTTCAAAAAATGAAACGCAAAGACAAACTTGTGTTATGAGGCAAATACATTTATACGAGGAAGCGTACAAGGTATCGAACCAAACTGTTGTGGAGAAAACATTTGGTGATTGTAGTCATCTCAGTTATCGGTACATAGGAAAAATCCAAGGTGAAGGTCAGCTACCATCAATCACGCGTATGTACCCCGTTGGAATCGATAGTGGCCTGACATCTCCTGCCCATGGAAGAGACGAGTAAGCGTATCACATGGGGAATTGTAGCCCACTGGGCTTGCAACGCAAAAGCCAACTGCTGCAACGTTTGAGGTTGTGGTTGACGTCGGCGTAGCCGTCTATCCAATTCATCCCACAGGTGCTCTATCGGGTTCAAATCCGGGGATCTGGAGGGCCAGGGGGGAACATCAACGTTGTTGTTTTGTAGACAGGCTCTTGTGATCCGTGCTGTATGCGGTCCAGCGTTGTCCTGCTGGAATACCGATCACGTGTTGACCCATGCTGTTGAAACCGATCCCATAGACTTGTGATGGTGCTGGGCGCTACATTGAAAACCCTTGGTACAGCTGATCGGGATTCTCTGCCTGACACCGGCATATTACGTTGTTTCTTTGCACTTCTGTTAATCTCGGCATGTTGTTGAACTGTCATTGTTCGATTGACGCAGATGCCAGGCAATCAAACACCCTGCACTTTAATACCATTCATACTGCTGCTGCACGTGCAGTACGTGCAGCGCCATGGCCCTTTTGTTGATTCACTGGCTGCGTTTTTTCGAATCGTACGTGTTTCCCGATTTATGGTTTGTATGTCCTTGTTGTGATCATTTTGATCCGGGAAATTTGTCATTGACACTATAAGACATTAAACCTCTACATTTTGCACCTCTTAGCTCGCTGTTTGCTTTTATGGCCAAAAATATCCGTATTGCGTTTCTTTTTTTAAGAGTATATAGTTTTAAAGGAGATTTACAGTAAACTACAAACGCAGTATTAAATCAATTATGAAGCATATTAAAATCAGTACTTTGAAAGAACTAAATCTAAAGGCAATATTTAAGGGAAAAATCGCTAAATCCTACTCGTATTCCGGAATACTCCGAGAGATAATGAGCAGATTTATCATCTGGTGACGTGACGTCATGGTGGAGCGTAGACTAATAGAAGATCACTGTTTCTGTATACTGCCTGGTAGATTTCTAGCGTTCGCCATGGCATCACCTGACAATGACCTCACACACATTCATCAATATCGATATGAGCCAGTGATTAGACAAAATAGTCTTGACAACGAGGAAGATATACCGAGTGAATATGATCAGTCTGATGTCAACACGGAACGACTAGCGATGCCGGGGTCACACAATGTAACTACCCTGCTCTCAGGTAACACAGGGTACTAGCTTCCCGTTCTGCCCTGGAATATCCGGGCAAGGAAACTTGACGAGCAGGTGATCACATCTTTTAGATGGGTGAGTCGAGGTTAAACGACACTTTGGACAGCATTGACGTCATATCACTCGGGGGGGCACGGGTGGCCCAGTCGTCTAAGGCGCCGCGATTCGCTGTGCAGAGTTGCGTCCCTTGGACACGCCAGAAACCTATGATTGTTGGTTCGAATCCCGGTTCGCCCCGATTATGTTTCTAGGTTTGTCAGCACCATACCCGGGCTCGTTGGTTTCACCGAAGTGGTAAACGTCTGAGACCTGCATCACTTCGGGCTTTCCTCCCACATTAAGCTGACACGCCGCGATATAGCTGGAATACTGTTAAAAGCGGCGTTAAACCCAACTCACTCACTCACTCACTCACTCATATCATTCGGCGTCTGTTCAATGTAGGAAGAATGCCAAACGTGAAGTAGGTCTTGATTTTTACCACTTAGGAAACCTACGACAATGGGTATGGTGCTAAAAAAAAACAACAGACTTACAAGCCTCAGCATTTGACTGATAATTCAGATTCGTCAATTTCAGGTTATAATTTTATGTACGCCAAGTTGTGTTTCCTGGTATTCATCGTGGGAAAACGTCTTAATTGTTCCTCCCTCATCGCTTATGTTTTCAATGAAAACACCTCCTCACTTGTACATCTAGCAATGTGTGGCATGCTGTCAATCACATTATGTACATATCTTACACGTTATGCAAATAAGATCCTATTATATATACAGAAAATAAATAACAGTGAGCAAACCTACGTCTGGTGCAATTCACAATGCCTAGGGCATACATGGAGAAAAAACGTACCGAATAAACGGTTTCTTATGCAGCTAAACTAGTTGATACGTTCTAACTGATACGTTTGTAAGGAGATACTTACAAAAAAAGGAATACAAATATGCTCTAAGAATAATTTTTATTGATGTTTTGTGTAAAACAAGGCTCTCATTAATATTGTTTGAATCTATTGGGGTAGGCACTGCTCTAAATGCAAACGAATGAACATAACACCAATAAACATCATACCACTGGACATCCGTAAGAAATTCGAATTATGCTTTACTTGTTAATAATCAGTAAATATGTATCGCTCGGTCAATGAATCATCCGTGTCTGTAAAAGCAAGACTACAAATCATTATTGCATATCATAATGACACACCTTTAGACAGTCTGTATATACCCTTGCATATGCCATCGTAATGATATTGTATATGAGGTCCGACTAATTACACTTTACAAAACATCGAACAAAAAAATCTTTACAAATCACAGAATTAAAACACATGAGCAGTCTACTAAAACTCCAACAAAGTGCTCTGACAACACTGCAACCGATAATCACGCCTTGAAGGCGGTCTTGTGCAATCACTGATATGTGCACATTCAACAGGTCATTCAACAAGGCTAATTATTTATTGTTAAAAATAGAGCTACAACATAATACTTGGTAAGACAACGAGTGAAGTGATTGGCTACGGTTGCATGTTTGGTGGAGCAACGTTCTTTAAAATGAAATGAAATCAAACGAACGTGGCATTACACACGCAAAGTTATCTTCAAACGGCATTTAGATGATGTAGTATCTATAGAAATGTAGTTGACGTATGGACTCTCATCCAGTTCCAGCATCTGTACAAAAAGTGACAATGAAAGAATAAGGAAGTGACATACCCGAGTAAAGCATTAACAAGGAGCTTATTAAAACTAAAAATACAATGTGGTCTCCGTATGGTCACAATGTACAAAGAACACGCAGTACCCTACATCGAATTCCTAAACAGACAATATAAACAACACTTATACATTTGATGCAGATAATGTAACTATTTAAATACATGTACATCGATTCAGTATAAAACATGATGGACGCAATATAAGACATATATTACCCAAAATGACTTTCATATAGCTTGATGTATTTCACAAGTCCAAAATATATACAGCTTGGTGTACAAAAATGGTAGGGTTTAAAAACAGTTTAGATCCCGATTATCAAACAAAAGTGTACAGGGACCTCCCATAACGGTAGCGGTAGATATCTAGTCAATACCAAGGTACAGAGAAAATATCAAATACAACCAGTAAAAAGATTAAACCTGACTATAGAGATCTATAGTAATACATGTATAGTATGTATAGTAATGCCTATCAAACAATTTATAGAGAGGTTGTTGGTTGTTTGGTTTGTTGTTTTACGCCGCACTCAGCAATATTCCAGCTATCTGACGGCACAATAGAGAGGAAAAACCTTTTGGAAAACATACTTGGAAAATACGGATTAGAAAATTAAACATACAAAAGCAGAAATGTTCTGATAATTCACTTCTTGAAATCTCCAGGAACAAATTACAAATGACTCATTACAGATGTTGATTAAGGAGAGTCCCGTTTAAAGAAGGTCCACTGTAAATATTTAATTTATATTTCAAATCCTCATTGTCAAAATTTTCACATTTTCAAAACGTTATCAACATCACCTATCAAGTATACCATACAAAGAATAGAGGTAAGGTAAACTCCAAACAAAAATGCTTAGTTCTTAGGATGAGGGTAAAAGTTAAGGGACGGCCTCCTTTTCTTCCTTGATAAATGCCTTGGTTTCCTCCTTGGAGCCGGACTTCTTGCCCTTCCTTATTGAAGACTTCTGCTTGAAACAGTCCCGCTAAATGAAGAGAAAACCACATAATAATCATTCAGTAACTACTGCATTTCTGCATTTAATTGTATCTATATACGGAAATATTATTTTATGTCAAAGCATTTCCATGTGTTGTAACATGTTACAACTAACGCGGTGTTTCCTGAAATGTTGTAAACATTGACCAAGCTCTGACAGGTGAGGTGAAAGGTGAGGTGAAATGGGGTTTGACGTCGCGCCATGATTATTGCACTTATATAGCTACGTGCATGCACGTGTGTGGCTGCTTGTACTAGTCCGGACTGATGCCGATTTTTAGTGCTAGCCCACTGAGATACCATGCCGCAGTTTAACATGACTACTCCACCCTAGCCGACCAGTCCTTGTTTTAGCCCCTTAATGCAGGGTAACACAAGTACCATCTTTCAACGTCTTTTGGTATGACGCGGCCGGGGATCGAACCCTGGATCTTCCGCTCTCCGGTCGGACGTTCTACCTTTAGACCACGGAGGCGGTCCGGACGTACAGAGCCGGTGAGTGTATATACACAAAGAGACGTAACTCTGGATGATATTGACGTCATAGTATCGTTATGTAAACGGTTTACCGAGAGATGCCAGATGTCAATCGATAAAGGCAATAGTTCGAGATTGATATGTGTGTGTAAGATACAGTCGAGACTGTGTGATATCCTGTATCCATATCCTGTATACAAGACATAGTTCGAGAATGGTGTGTGTAAGGTACAGTCGAGACTGTTAGATATCCTGTATCCATATCCTGTATACAAGACATAGTTCGAGATTGATGTGTGTTAAATACAGTCGAGACTGTTAGATGGAACGTGTACAAGCAATTGCTCGAGATTGGTGAGTGTTTGATGTACAGTCGAGACTGTTTGATGACATGGATACAAGCAATAGTTCGAGATTGGTGTGTGTAAGGTACAGTTCAAGATATGGGGTAACAAACAGGGTCACAATGACGTAACACATCATTAAAATGTACAGTGGCATCACGAGTTAAAGTACAGTGATATCATACAGGTATCACGAGTTAAAGAACAGTGATATCATAAAGGTATCACGAGTTAAAGTACAGTGATATCATACAGGTATCACGAGTTAAAGTACAGTGATATCATACAGGTACCACGAGTTAAAGTACAGTGATGTATAATTGACACAATATCAATATGACGTATAACAAACAATTTCGACTTTTGATGAGGTCAAAGACAATCACTTACGCTTGTATAACAGAAGCACACGATGAAGATGCAGCCGATGATGCCGAGAACAATGGCGATGGGGATGACGGGCGTGATGTCATAGTGATCAGCTGGGTTGGGAGCTGGTTCGGGGTCATACTTATCCTCAGGCTTGGCGCCCTGGAATAAACAAATAGAAATAAGAGCTAGACATGAAGAACATGCATAGTGAGTGAGTGAGTTGGGATTAACACCGCTTTTAACGGTATTTCAGTTATATCGCGGCGTGTCAGCTTAATGTGGGAGGAAAGCCCGAAGTGATGCAGGTCTCAGACGTTTACCACTTCGGTGAAACCAACGAGCCCGGGTATGGTGCTGACAAACCTAGAAACATAATCGGGGCGAACCGGGATTCGAACCAACAATCATAGGTTTCTGGCGTGTCCAAGGGACGCAACTCTGCACAGCGAATCGCGGCTCCTTAGACGACTGGGCCACCCGTGCCCCCCCGAGTGATATGACGTCAATGCTGTCCAAAGTGTCGTTTAACCTCGACTCACCCATCTAAAAGATGTGATCACCTGCTCGTCAAGTTTCCTTGCCCGGATATTCCAGGGCAGAACGGGAAGCTAGTACCCTGTGTTACCTGAGAGCAGGGTAGTTACATTGTGTGACCCCGGCATCGCTAGTCGTTCCGTGTTGACATCAGACTGATCATATTCACTCGGTATATCTCGGAATTATGCGAACGTGTTCATTGATGACACATCGTGATAACAATGCATTAATAGTCAAAACGGCTGCCAGCTCTGTTCAGATTCATGGAGTGAGTGAGTGAGTGAGTGAGTTGGGTTTAACGCCGCTTTTAACAGTATTCCAGTTATATCACGGCTCGGCAGCTTAATGTGGGAGGAACATCACAACCAAGTTCTACCGGGTACCCATCACATCACAGCCAAGTTCTACCGGGTACCCATCACATCACCACCACGTTCTACCGGGTACCGATCACATCACCACCAAGTCCTACCGGGTACCCATCACATTACCACCACGTTCTGCCGGGTACCCATCACATCACCATCACGTTCTACCGGGTACCCATCACATCACAACCAAGTTCTACCGGGTACCCATCACATCACAACCAAGTTGTACCGGGTACCCATCACATCACAACCAAGTTCTACCGGGTACCCATCACATCACAACCAAGTTCTACCGGGTACCCATCACATCACAACCAAGTTCTACCGGGTACCCATCACATCACCACCAAGTTCTACCGGGTACCCATCACTTCACCATCACGTCCTAACGGGTTCCCATACCACATTGGTGTGGAAATAATACCTTTGTCTTGAGAAATTGCGGATTCAAAATAGAATAAGTTCAAAGAAGTTGACTTACCTCTTGCGACAGGACGAAATGCATCTGCATGCCCTGCAAGAAGAGAAACATATCAAGTTGTAAGATACATCGACGTCACAACAAGAACGTCACAGTTACCGAGTTCATGATGTCATGAAACTACAAACAATAACACCAGATCGTCAACATGTACATCTGTGTACCTACACGTGTGTTATATTAGCGTCGCATGCACTTCATGTACGTCATGACCGTGGTCTAGTGGTAGAGCGTCCGCCCGGAGAGCGGAAGGTCCGGGGTTCGATCCCCAGCCGCGTCATACCTAAAGACTATAAAAGATGGTACTTGTTGTTACCCTGTCTGGCGCTCGGCATTAAGGGGCTAAGACAAGGGACTGGTCGGCTCGGAGTCAGTTTACTGTGTCTGAGTGGGGTATTCATGTTAAACTGCGGCATGGTATCTCAGTGGACTAGCACTATTAATCGGCATCAGTCCGGTCTAGTACAAGCAGCAACACACACACACACATACACACACACACACACACACACACACACACACACACACGTGTGCATGCACGTCGCTATATAAGTGCAATAATCTTGGATGCGACGTTAAACCCCATTTCACCTCACCTCACCCCTTGTACGTCATGAAGCTGTATGAAACTTTACTTCAAGCTCGGTTTGATGCATGACACTACATGTTCCGAATACATGATTAAGAAGCTTTTATCAGAACTGTTCAAAAGTCATTCGGGATGCCTTATATTGACAAACTTCCCACATCGATTTTACAACCATCAAACGGCACTACAAACGTGGCATGCGCTGGGACAGGGCTTGTAATATATGTTGTGCGTGGCTGTCATGTCACGACGTATTATAAATTAGCACTACCATATTTCTCGGTATTCTTCATATGGCCGATGAAAGAATGGTACAGTATAATAGATCAGTATAATAGACATATCTTTGATACAAAAAGTTGTTATCATGTTAGTTGTGGATATCATACCGAAGATGCTCTACACTTATTTTTTGTGTGTACAAATTACTATGCTCTTCGAAATGAAGTGTATTTTTACCAACATGGTTATTCTTTACAAACAGTGCTATGCGGAAATTCGGATTTGAGTAAGGAAGAGCAAATGCTAATATAAGATTCTATTCAACACTTTATATTAAAAACTGGCAGATTTTCAGTTAAATGATTGTTTAAAATAAACTGCAAATAGATGGATTATATGTACACATCTAGCTTGGCATGTACAATTTATTTGTTACATCTAACCTTCATCTATGTATTCATTGTAATATGTCCTATGTGTAATGGAGCGGTATTAACATAAGCGCTTCGCTTGTTCACCAATCCATTTCACACTTTTGTGAAAATTAATATGTTTAAACAAAGAAAGGTACTTCTATTTTGAATGGTTGCTATACTTGGACGTACCGGCCTCTCTGTGGCACCTTGGCAGTTGAGGGCGAACAGGGTGTAGTTGGTGTTGGCTCCGAGAGTCAGGCTGCCGTTGAGGCTGCTGAAGCAGACGACCATGTCGTCCTCGTGGTCGTAGCAGCCGGCTTGTCCAGCTGCAATCGCACCTTTCCATACTGCCTCAGTGTTGCATTTCTGGTATAATAATAATAATAATAATAATAATAATAATAATAATATAGGCTGATGAGCCTAGCCAGCCTATTATATACTAGTAATAATTATTGAAATAATAATCATAAGTCTAGATTTTGAGATGGAGGTGGAGGAGGAGGGGAAGGTGGAGAGAGCGGAGGAGGGGAAGGGGGCGGTGGAGGAGTAGGGTTGAGGAGGAGGGGAGTGGAGGAGGCGTGAGATGGGGGGAGTGGTGGAGGAAGGGTGGGGGAAATATGGAGGTGGAGGAGGAGGTGAGATGGGGGAGAGGAGGTGGAAGGGTGGAGTAGATATGTAGGTGGAGGAGGAGGGTTGAAGAGATATGGTGGTGGAGGAGGAGGGAGATGGGGGGAGAGGAGGAGGAAAGGAACTTGGGAGACGGGGGAGTGGGGGAATGGTGGAGGAGGAGGGAGATGGGGGGAGAGGAGGAGGAAAGGAACTGGGGAGATGGGGGAGTGGGGGAATGGTGGAGGAGGAGGGAGATGGGGGGAAAGGAGGAGGAAAGGAAGTGGGGAGATGGGGGTGGGGAGGAGGAAGGTAGAGGAGATATGGAGGTGGAGGAGGTGGAGGAGGAGGGGAGATGGAGATGGAGGTTCAGATTGTGGAGGAGGAGGATAGAAATCACCATTATATCGAAAATGTTACATAACAACTTACCGGGTCCATTGTTTCTTCCTTCACAACCATCATTGTCGGGAACACGTTGTTCTGTGCAGAAATAAACAACATCCTGATAAAAACGACACACATGTATATAATGATTATTTGATAAAACGTGTCTGACCGTAGCGCGGGTTTAAACACCTCGCCTCCACATGTGTACAGTTCTGTATGCTTGGCGTTACTTCAGTCCAAACTAAATAGCCCCGTGAAGATCCGGGGTAGAATAGGTCTTCAGTCACCCACGTTTGCCGTTAAGGGTGACTATGCTTGTCGTAAGAGGCGACTAACGGGATCGGGTGGTCAGGCTCGCTGACTTGGTTGATGCATGTCATCGTATCCTAATGGTATGGATCGATACTCATGATGTCAGTCATGGATTGTCTGGCCCAGACTCGATTATTTACAGACCGCCGTCATATAGCTGGAATATTGTTGAGTGCGGCGTTAAACAACCAACAAACAAACAAACAATTATTTTGTATTAAAGGCAAAGTGTATCATAACGATTTACAACTATCACCACCGAGTAACTTTACCTTGTTGAACCTTGCGCTGAAGAAATAAACCTCCGTTCTCGCTTCCTTGCTTACTGAGAAATCTGCCACACGTTGGAAATGCTGAAAAAAATAAAAATAAAAAGTAAGGTCATGTCTTGCATGAATGTACAGGTCCTGATGTGTTAAACGTCAAGGCGGGTAGAGAATGGGGTGGATACCCAAGCCCTGCTGTTTTAAAGTTCACAAGAATATTGCTAACGTAAATTCACGAATCGTATAGTGTCCCTCTTCAAGGCGGTTGGCCCAGTCGTCTAAGGCGCCGCGATTCGCTGTGCAGAGTTGCGTCCCTTGGGAACGCCAGAAACCTATGATTGTGGGTTCGAATCCTGGTTCGCCCCGATTATGTTTCCAGGTTTGTCAGCACCATACCCGTGCTCGTGGGTTTCACCGAAGTGGTAAACGTCTGAGACCTGCATCACTTCGGGCTTTCCTCCCACATTAAGCTGACACGCCGTGATATAACTGGAATACAGTTAAAAGCGGCGTTAAACCCAACTCACTCACTCACTCTTCAAGGCGGGTAGATCAAGAAAAAAAATTGCGTCGATACACAAGCCATGTCGCATTCATTTCAACGGTGAGTAAACGATATATCAAGCAAATCCTGTTGTTTAAAAATCATAAATTGATTATTGAAAGCCAAAGCAAGACTACCACTCTTTAATATTGAGACACTATGTCTTGACAAGTTGGAATCGAACTTGCATTGTGTGGCGAGCTTGAGAGCGCTGACATTAATGTTTGACTAGATAAGAGTGACCTCCCTTGATCATTATTTTACGTGCGGTTTTATCGATAAAAAGGAGCGATTACGCGTGCTTGGAGTGGGTTCAGTGAAAACTATACAACATAAATGAACCAGATATTCAACATCTTCAAAACAATATAATGTGACAATTGCCAGAAATACTGTAGTAATAAATATATACAACAGACAGCAATTAAGAATACTCTCAAATACTGTGATGCAGGATACCGATAGTTTTGTATGTTGCATTTCTTTCTTATTAAATATGATACGTCCCCTCACCCCCAACACGCAACCCCCCTAACCCGTACCCTCCCACCTGCCCCCCCCCCCCCCCCCCCCCCCCCCCCCCCCCCCCCCACACACACACACACACACACTCCCAACACTCCCCACCTTACCCCCACCGTCTTTTCTCTGCGTTTGATTAGATTTATTTGTTTTGTTTGTTTGTTGTTAAACGCCGCACTCAGCAATATTCCAGCTATATGACGGCGGTCTGTAAGTAATCAAGTCTGACCAGACAATCCAGTGATTGACATCATGAGCATCAATCCATGCCTTTCGGATCGATGACATGCATCAACCAAGTCAGCGAGCCTGACCACCCGATCCCGTTAGTTGCCTCTTACGACAAGCATAGTCACCTTTTACGGCAAGCATGGCTTGCTGAAGACCTATTCTACCCCGGATCTTCACGGGTCTGTTTCATCAGAACATTATTCCAGCTGTTATATGTGCTCAGAGTGGCACCGACTCCCAGAAACACACGTGTCCGTTTTATATCAAGAGAAATGCACATATTAAAGATGTACTGTCTAGCTTGCAATAGCTGGCCCTGTATTGAGCTTTACGTAGTGCATTTGTATCTTTTACCTTTTATCAGATGAAGGTACGTCACAAATACTCCATGCGCGTGTGGGTTATATGAATTACGTACATATACGCATGGAGTTACAAGTTTTCAATGATGTTCAAACAAACATTTCTTGCATAATAAGAATATCATGTACTTTTTATTTTTCAATCTAAAAATATCCTCAAATATTCAAAGTCCAACGGTAGTCAACTACTGTATTCCAGTATTTAACTCATCATGGAATACATTTATGTAGGGAGGCCTTTTCTATGGTTGATTGTACACAACTGTTTATTTGGTTACACGACTGTTTATTTGGTTACACAGCTGTTTATTTGGTTACACAACTGTTTATTTGGTTACATACTAGTTTGAACAACCGGAAAAGGGGGAAAAAATAGACACCGCCAGCCCGCACTGTATTTTCAAAAACTATTGCCTGAGAACCAATTCTTTTATTTTTTTAAAGCCTAATGTCAATCGTTTAAGGAGCACGTTGTGAAGAGTTGCGTCCCTTAGTTTGTAGCGAGCCCATCCTTGCCCGCTGTGAGGAGCCGTCATCACTCTGGCCATGCTTGCGGATTACTCAAATATGCCAAACGCCTACAAGAACGATTTTATTTTCATATAAAATTGACAGGCTGCCATTTAACTGAAATACAGTTCAAATACGTGGTATATCCCAAATAACCGTATCACCATTTTAAAATTTGAAATATTAAACCACGGACCTATATACAAGTCCGTGATTAAACTGAATATACCATGTGTAATACCCGATGATGTGCCTTACCGAAGTCCCTCTCATAAGTACTGATAAAGAACTTTGGAACAAAGAGGTGCACTTCTAACCAGAGGTTAGCATACAAGTATTACGTGAATTGCGTTGGTTTTGTTCATAATTTTGTTTAAAACAGGTCACCAAATTGGCAGTATTGTAATACATTTTACAGTTGATATACCCGAACAGGACTTTATTATATTTATATATAAAAATCTGTATGATAAAGAATGCAATGAGTGACACACATCTGGTAAAGGCATCTTTGATGCTTTTGCGGTTACCTTTGTTGTCACTCCAGATCAACAGCGTACCGATACACTGACCCGGAAAGTTCACAGGTCAAAGTTGAGTCTCCTATACCTACACGATAACTCCTGATCTGACCATCCAAATGTCCTACTTTCTAGCCTAGTTGTTAAAGGTCTACCCTGTCCTCCTTTCTTCCCTGTCAACCCTGTCCTCCTCTCTACCCTGTCCTTCTTTCTACCCTGTCCTCCTCTCTACTCTGTCCTCTTTCTACCATGGCCTACTCTCTATCATTCCTACCCTGTCCTCTTTCTAACCTGTCCCCTTCTCTACCCTGTCCTCCGCTCTACCCTGTCCTCCTCTCTACCCTGTCCTCCTCTCTACCCTATCCTCCTCTCTACCCCGTCCTCCTCTCTACCCTGTCCTCCTCTCTACCCTGTCCTCCTCTCTATCCTATTTTCCTCTCTACCCTGTCCTACTCTCTACCCTGTCCTCCTCTCTACCCTGTCCTCCTCTCTACCCTGTCCTCCTCTCTACCCTGTCCAACTCTCTACCCTGTCCTCCTCTCTACACTGTCCTCCTCTCTACCCTATCTTCCTCTCTATCCTGTCCTACTCTCTACCCTGTCCTCCTCTCTACCCTGTCCTACTCTCTACCCTGTCCTCCTCTCTACCCTGTCCTCCTCTCTACCCTGTCCAACTCTCTACCCTGTCCTACTCTCTACCCTGTCCTCCTCTCTACCCTGTCCTCCTCTCTACCCTGTCCAACTCTCTACCCTGTCCTACTCTCTACCCTGTCCTCCTCTCTACCCTGTCCTCCTCTCTACCCTGTCCAACTCTCTACCCTATCCAACTCTCTACCCTGTCCTCCTCTCTACCCTGTCCAACTCTCTACCCTGTCCTCCTCTCTACCCTGTCCTCCTCTCTACCCTGTCCTCCTCTCTACCCTGTCCTCCTCTCTACCCTGTCGTACTCTCTACCCTGTCCTCCTCTCTACCCTGTCCTCCTCTCTACCCTGTCCAACTCTCTACCCTGTCTTCCTCTCTACCCTGTCCTACTCTCTACCCTGTCCTCCTCTGTACCCTGTCCTCCTCTCTACCCTGTCCAACTCTCTACCCTGTCCTACTCTCAACCCTGTCTTCCTCTCTACCCTGTCCTCCTTTCTAACATGTCTTCCTCTCTACCCTGTTCTCCTCTCTACCCTGTCCGCCTTTCTACCCTGTCCTCCTTTCTACCCTGTTCTCCTCTCTACCCTGTCCTCCTCTCTACCCTGTTCTCCTTTCTATCCTGGCCTCCTCTCTGCCCTGTCCTCTTTTTTACCCTGTTCTCCTCTCTACCTTGTCCTACTCTCTATCCTGTCCTCCTCTCTACCCTGTCAACCTTTTTACCCTGTCCTACTCTCTACCCTGTCTACCCTGTCCTCCTCTCTACCATGTCCTCCTTTTTACCCTGTCCTACTCTTTAACCTGTCCTGATCTCTACCCTGTCCTCCTCTCTAACCTGCCCTACTCTGTACCCTGTCTACCCTGTCCTCCTCTCTACCCTGTTCTTTTTACCCTGCCCTACTCTCTACCCTGTCTACCCTGTCCTCCTTTTTACCCTGTCCTACTCTCTACCCTGTCCTCCTCTCTACCCTGTCCTACTCTCTTACCTGTCCTGATCTCTACCCTGTCCTCCTCTCTACCCTGTCCTCCTCTCGACCCTCTCAACCCTGTCCTCCTTTCTACCATGTCTTCCTCTCTACCCTGTTCTCCTCTCTACCCTGTCCTCCTCTCTACCCTGTCCTCCTTTCTACCCTGTCCTCCTCTCTGCCCTGTCCTCTTTTTTACCCTGTTCTTGTTTCTACCTTGTCCTACTCTCTACCCTGTCTACCCTGTCCTCCTTTCTACCTTGTCCTCTCTACGCTGCACCCTCTCTACCTTGTCTACCCTGTCCAACTCTCTACCCTGTTCTATCCTCTAACATAACCTTCTACCCTGTCTTAACCTCTACCCTGTGATCTTTGTCGTTACTCCAAAACCTAACAGATCAGCGCCTGGTGGGATCAACAGTAATCCGAGGATATACCGACACACTAATCCGTCAAGGTCACAGGTCAGAGTTGAGTCTCCGACATGATAACTCCTGACCTAACCTGACTTTCCAAATGTCCTCCTCTCTACCCTGTCCTCCTCTCTACCCTGTCCAACTCTCTACCCTGTCCTACTCTCTACCCTGTCCTCCTCTCTACCCTGTTCTCCTCTCTACCCTGTCCAACTCTCTACCCTGTCCTACTCTCTACCCTGTCCTCCTCTCTACCCTGTCCTCCTCTCTACCCTGTCCAACTCTCTACCCTATCCAACTCTCTACCCTGTCCTCCTCTCTACCCTGTCCAACTCTCTACCCTGTCCTCCTCTCTACCCTGTCCTCCTCTCTACCCTGTCCTCCTCTCTACCCTGTCCAACTCTCTACCCTGTCGTACTCTCTACCCTGTCCTCCTCTCTACCATGTCCTCCTCTCTACCCTGTCCTCCTCTCTACCCTGTCCAACTCTCTACCCTGTCTTCCTCTCTACCCTGTCCTACTCTCTACCCTGTCCTCCTCTCTACCCTGTCCTCCTCTCTACCCTGTTCTCCTTTCTATCCTGGCCTCCTCTCTGCCCTGTCCTCTTTTTTACCCTGTTCTCCTCTCTACCTTGTCCTACTCTCTATCCTGTCCTCCTCTCTACCCTGTCAACCTTTTTACCCTGTCCTACTCTCTACCCTGTCTACCCTGTCCTCCTCTCTACCATGTCCTCCTTTTTACCCTGTCCTACTCTTTAACCTGTCCTGATCTCTACCCTGTCCTCCTCTCTAACCTGCCCTACTCTGTACCCTGTCTACCCTGTCCTCCTCTCTATCCTGTTCTTTTTACCCTGCCCTACTCTCTACCCTGTCTACCCTGTCCTCCTTTCTACCCTGTCCTACTCTCTACCCTGTCCTCCTCTCTACCCTGTCCTACTCTCTTACCTGTCCTGATCTCTACCCTGTCCTCCTCTCTACCCTGTCCTCCTCTCGACCCTCTCAACCCTGTCCTCCTTTCTACCATGTCTTCCTCTCTACCCTGTTCTCCTCTCTACCCTGTCCTCCTCTCTACCCTGTCCTCCTTTCTACCCTGTCCTCCTCTCTGCCCTGTCCTCTTTTTTACCCTGTTCTTGTTTCTACCTTGTCCTACTCTCTACCCTGTCTACCCTGTCCTCCTTTCTACCTTGTCCTCTCTACGCTGCACCCTCTCTACCTTGTCTACCCTGTCCAACTCTCTACCCTGTTCTATCCTCTAACATAACCTTCTACCCTGTCTTAACCTCTACCCTGTGATCTTTGTCGTTACTCCAAAACCTAACAAATCAGCGCCTGGTGGGATCAACAGTAATCCGAGGATATACCGACACACTAATCCGTCAAGGTCACAGGTCAGAGTTGAGTCTCCGACATGATAACTCCTGACCTAACCTGACTTTCCAAATGTCCTACTTTCTAGCCTATCCTTCCTTCTACCCTGTGTTATCATCTACCATGTCCTCCCTCTCCCCTATTCTCCTCTCTACCCTGTTTTACCATCTACTCTGTCTTTCCTCATGCTTGTCCCCACGTGGTGATTCTAGGTCATTATATTTAGGTCCTCGGCACCTCATGCTTGTCTCCATGTGGTGCTTCTAGGGCATTATGTTTAGGTCCTCGGTACCTCATGCTTGTCCAAACGTGGTGCTTCTAGGTCATTATATTTAGGTCCTCGGCACCTCATGCTTGTCTCCATGTGGTGATTCTAGGTCATTAAATTTAGGGCCTCGGTACCTCATGCTTGTCCCCATGTGGTGCTTCTAGGGCATTATATTATGGTCATCGGCACCCCATGCTTAACCCCACGTGGTGATTCTAGGGCATTATATTTAGGTCCTCGGTACCCCATGCTTGTCCCCATGTGGTGATTCTAGGGCATTATATTTAGGTCCTCGGTACCTCATGCTTGTCCCCATGTGGTGCTTCTAGGGCATTATATTTAGGTCATCGGCACCCCATGCTTAACCCCACGTGGTGATTCTAGGGCATTATATTTAGGCCCTCGTTACCTCATACTTGTCCCCACGTGGTGATTCTAGGGCATTATATTTAGGCCCTCGTTACCTCATACTTGTCCCCATGTGGTGATTCTAGGGCATTATATTTAGGTCCTCGGTACCTCATGCTTGTCCCCGGCTGGTGCTTCTAGGGCATTATATTTAGGTCATCGGCACCCCATGCTTAACCCCACGTGGTGATTCTAGGGCATTATATTTAGGCCCTCGTTACCTCATACTTGTCCCCACGTGGTGATTCTAGGGCATTATATTTAGGTCCTCGGTACCTCATGCTTGTCCCCATGTGGTGATTCTAGGGCATTATATTTAGGTCCTCGGTACCTCATGCTTGTCCCCGGCTGGTGCTTTTAGGGCATTATATTTAGGTCCTCGGTACCTCATGCTTGTCCCCGGCTGGTGCCTCTAGGGCATTTTATTTAGGTCCTCGGTACCTCATGCTTTTCCCCGGCTGGTGCTTCTAGGGCATTATATTTAGGTCCTCGTTACCTCATGCTTGTTCCTATTTTGTGATTGTAAGGCATTATATTTAGGTCCTCGGTACCTCATGCTTGTCCCCATGTGGTGCTTCTATGGGCAGTATATCTAGGTCCCCAGTATTTCATGCTTGTCCCCATGTGGGATTCCTGGGCAGTACATCTAGGTCCCCAGTATTCCATGCTTGTCCCTATGTGGGATTCCTGGCGAGTATATCTAGGTCCCAAGTATTTCATGCTTGTCCCTATGTGGGATTCCTGGGCAGTACATCTAGGTCCCCAGTATGTCATGCTTGTCCCCATGTGGGATTCCTGAGCAGTACATCTAGGTCCCCAGTATTCCATGCTTGTCCCTATGTGGGATTCCTGGGCAGTACATCTAGGTCCCCAGTATCTCATGCTTGTCCCCATGTGGGATTCCTGGGCAGTACATCTAGGTCCCCAGTATTCCATGCTTGTCCCTATGTGGGATTCCTGGGCAGTATATCTAGGTCCCCAGTATTCATGCTTGTCCCTATGTTGGTTTCCTGGGCAGTATATTTAGGTCCCCAGTTGCTCATGCTTGTCTCAATGTGGGATTCCTGGGCAGTATATCTAGGTCCCCAGTATGTCATGCTTGTCCCTATGTGGGAATTCTGGGCACTGTATTTAGGTCCTCAGTATTTCATGCTTGTCCCTATGTGGGATTCCTGAGCAGTATATTAAGGTCCCCAGTATTTCATGCTTGTCCCTATGTGGGATACCTGGGCAGAATATTTAGGTCCCCAGTATTTCAAGCTTGTCCCTATGTGGGATTCCTGGGCAGTATATCTAGGTCCCCAGTATTTCATGCTTGTCCCCATGTGGGAATTCTGGGCACTGTATTTAGGTCGCGAGTATTTCATGCTTGTCCCTATGTGGGAATTCTGGGCACTGTATTTAGGTCCCGAGTATTTCATGCTTGTCCCGATGTGGGATTCCTGGGCAGTATATTCAGGTCCTCTGTGCCTGATGCTAGACCTGCGGTACCGGTTCAGTTGCACAACAGGTGCCCGTCCCACGTGTCTTTACAGCCGACTGATGATGAGCGCACAGCGTGTGACCTTGCGTGACCTGTTGCGCTTCACCGTACCGACGGCAAAAGATGCTGTCAAGTCACATGTCTTGCCGAGTCGATGACCAACAGGCCGCTATGATATAGCTGACATATAGCTTACTGCACCACACAATAACATTCCCACCTCCCCCATCCCCTTCACTCCCCCATAGGTTTCGGTGATCGCATAAAACCAAGCAAATACCACTCCCCGTGCGTTGTTGATCTAATTACCTCCCCCCTCGGAGATAACTGGATGAAGCTACACAAACAAAAAAATTACTGCCATTAATAATCTACAAGCGGAACCCATTCCACTTTCGCTATGCATTTGGAGCAACCACATGTCCCTGTTTAGGCCTACAAGTACATGCCATGTGAAGGTCGAACGCTACACGGGGTCACACTGTTCCAGCACTGCTGGCGAAGGCTTGGTTCCAAGACCGCATCTATTTCGAGCCGGCTTGTTTATAACCAGTAGCATCCTCACCGGTACTCCTTGCCTCGGGGAGAAACACGCCCTGGACCCAAGAACTGAAATACCGCTCGACCAGAAACACGCAGATTCTCCAATACTCGCAATGGCTGCGTTTTATACGGGACACTGTTTGTTTAACATTCTACACCCCTGCAGTAATGGACGCTGAACACATGGTATATATAGCTCAAACACATCGATCAGAAAATTTCGCAACCCTGTGATACAAGAAAACCGGTAAACAGCCATGGCGATGTGACCTAGATAGCCACGAGAACATGCATCGCCCATAACCAACTGGATTATAACTACGTCATTTCAAAACATCTGTTTCTACTTACTGTGGGAGTGTTGATGTCCATACTCTTGAACAACTTCACTGATTCACATGTGCTGATTAATATCAAGCCACAAATCAAGGAATGTGTGAGGGCGGACATCTTGATCACTGTAGCTTCACTTCTGAAGGTCGGGTAGACTGTCGCTTGTAGCGTCGACTACCTTGGTGCATTCAAGCTTGTCCGTGGGGCTTGAGAACGACAGTCTCGGTCCGCGTTCACAACGCTCTGCTGTATTGATTCAGGCGAGTCAATGCAGTGAATGACAAAACAGGCTTAGAGGCTGTCGTTCACCGTGAATAGCTGTTTCAATGTCACCTTAGGGTTGCTGTGCTGTGCATTCAACAGCAAACACACTGTAATGTATCTTATCTCAAAGTCGTTGCAGGTAGTAGTAAGTGCATTTGAACAATGCTGAAACCAAACACGCTCAACGGTAAAGTGGTATCCGACCGGGTTAAACAGTGAAGGGTAAATGCGGGCGGTTCAGCTAGATGTCCGTAGCGATAGCTACCAGCCTTTCTCCTACACTGCAGCAAATGCAGCCACAACATTCGATCTTGATATGAGCATGTTTAAAGGACCAGTCCACTTGATGTACATACGGTTTGCACGGATGGTAGGGGTTTAGTTATTAACTGAGGAGCAAGGCAAATAGGTTTTTATAGTGGATTTTATTATTTGTTTGATTTTCAATTGAAAATATCCTCAAAAGCGATATTCTATCCAAAAGGGGAACTCTAAGAATAATTCTACATGGTTTTATTTTTTTAAATATAATTTGAATTAAAACTTTTAAAAATTAAAAATAATATTTCTTTATAATGCACAACTGCTGATGGGTATCTGAGACATCTAACCTTTGAAAATCAATAAATGTGCTTTGGTCGGCACAGATTGACAATATTTCAAACATGGTATGGTTGATGTGGTAGCAAATTCATTTATTACTCAACTGTATCAAATTATATTTACACAAGATTACCCAGCCACAGATAACCTGTTTACAAACTGTTGCAGTAATGAGTGATGGTTAAATGGACATAATCAAATTTAATAACAGTAGTTTCGATTTTCATTTTCATAAAAAAACGAACTCGGGATACTTTGTTTTGTTTATGATGCAAACATTTAAGGGGAAGCACCACAAGGAAGGTTGTTCGTTTGTTTGTTTATTGTTTATTTGTTGTTTAACGCCGCACTTAGCAATATTCAAGCTATATGACGGCGGTCTGTAAATAATCGAGTCTGGACCAGACAATCCAGTGATTGACGTAATGAGCATCGATCTTCGCAATTGGGACCGATGACATGCATCAACGAAGTCAGCGAGCCTGACCACCCGATCCCGTTAGTCTCCTTTTACGACACGCATAGTCGCCTTTTACGGCAAGCATGGGTCGCTGAAGACCTATTCTACCCCGGATATTCACGTGTCAGCTCTCCTGACAGCAATGTACGATCGTCATCACGGCGGCCTGTTAAAGGGGAAGTGTACACACAAAAATCACTTTCTATCTTTTTCTAAACAAAACGCAATTTTAGAATTAGTTAGTTTCTGAAAATATACACTCATTTTTTTCACAGTGAAAGTAGGAAGCTTACAATAGAGTGAAAATGATATGCCGTTATGAGGCCTTCGTTTTTCGAGCTAAACAGGCCTGAGTTATCCCCCTTAGATTATGACGTAATTGGTGCCAATTCAACTGGGTCCCTTTCTATTCTCAACGCAAAAGATATCAAGTACCAGTTTGTGGTAAAACAACATGGCCTACGACACACTCCGGCGCAGTGGTGACTCAGCTTAACACTATGCTGGCTGGCATCTGAGACGCTAGAATCACACACCTGTATCTACACCACGTGAAGCGGCTCTAACAAAGCATGATGACGTCATAATGTTTATCAATTGGCACCAATGACGTCATATTGTAAGGGGCATAAGCCATGGTGTTTTTGTTATGGAAATAGAACACTTGGTAAATGTGAAAAATATAAATCATTTTAATGCAAAAAATATGTCAATTATTAGTGATATTTTTATATTTTTGTCTATGACACTTCTAGGTTAACACTTTTAATGTGGAAAAAGTACAAGAAAAATAGGTTCATTTCCGTGTGAACATGCCCTTTAACACCTGGACAGGTTAACTAGTGGTCGATAGCACGAGCACCGACCAACACTCTCGGAGTAGAAGTATTTCTTTGTTTGTTGTTTAACGCCGCACACAGCAATATTTCAGCTGTATTACGGCGGTCTGTAAATAATCGAATCTGGACCAGACAATCCAGTGAGTGACATCATGAGCATCTTCGCAATTGGGATGCGAAGATTTATATCAACCAAGTCAGCGAGCCTGACCACCCGAACCCGTAAGTCGCCTCTTACGACAAGCATAGTCGCCTTTTTCGGCAAGCATGGGTTGCTGAAGACCTATTCTACCCCGGATCTCCACGGGGTAGAATTAAACATGCACAGCTATGTTGCAGCCACTTGATCTTCAATGCCATTAGCTCCTACCACAACACGGGGATGCTGGTCACCTATCCTGACCTTGAATCATCTATGACAAGCAACAAACAATAGTTTAAATGTATCAATAGTGGAATAGATCCGTTACCATGACACTGTTACCACTTTCAAGAGGCTAGCATACTTCTGGATATGATGGCTGAAAATAAGTTGTATTTTTCAAGGACTATACAGCATACCCTGGATATGACGAAGTCGGATGTAACGAATAATCGGATTTACCGAACCAGTTCAATTCCTTAAAAGAGTGGTGCTCTCATTATCTGTTTGTCTGCATGAATAATGGCTCCGTACGTTGTTAGTTGTAAATCATCAAGACACGCCATACTTTATATACTTTTAAAACAAAGTAAGTGATCATAAAATAATTGTTTATACCATGTATTACAACAAAGAGTGTTGACGACAAACATCCTATGCAAGAACGTTCATGTCAGTAAAACATAACACTAAAAAACACATCGGATAGTCTGCACGTGCCGCACGCAGAAACGTCATTCCTGATTTTGGCACTTTCAAGGAAGGTCCATTAATCTCCGTGGACCATTTATTTCTGTCAGTCTTATTGATTGCCCTAATCATATAGTTGTGATTTACTTCATTTCATTCACTGTTTGTGTATGAGTGAGTGAGTGAGTGAGTGAGTGAGTTGGGTTTAACGCCGCTTTTAACATTATTCCAGTTATATCACGGCGTGTCAGCTTAATGTGGGAGGAAATCCCGAAGTGATGCAGGTCTAAGACGTTTACCACTTCGGTGAAACCCACGAGCACGGGTATGGTGCTGACAAACCTAGAAACATAATCGGGGCGAACCGGGATTCGAACCCACAATCAAAGGTTTCTGGCGTACCCAAGGGACGCAACTCTGCACAGCGAATCGCGGCGCCTTAGACGACTGGGCAACCCTTGCCCCGTTTGTGTATGAACTAGCGATGCGGCGTCCGCTGGAAACTGGCAGAAGTCAGCGTGCAGTGACAAATACGTTCAATGTTTCCCTGTCTGTGATTAGCAGGCTAAGGAACAGTTACCAACAAAACCAAAATGCTGACGATCGACCCCGTTCAGGTCGTTCCTGGTCAACAACAAGAGTACAGGATCGATTGATTCGATACCAGGCTCCACGATTTCGAGCTCAAATTGCTGCAACTTTCAATCAGGCAACTGGTCAGACAGGTCAGATGATTAGAAAACGTCTACTTGCAGCTGATCTCCAGGCTCGACAGCCACGTGGTGTGCCGCTCCTTTCAAATCGTCATATTGCCAAACAGACGTCAATGGTGGTCACTAAGTCGAAACTCGGATGGCCCAGTCGTATAAGGCGCCGCGATTCACTGTGCAGAGTTGCGTCCCTTGGGCACGCCAGAAACCTATGATAGTGGGTTCGAATCCCGGTTCGCCCCGATTATGTTTCTAGGTTTGTCAGCACCATACCCGTGCTCGTGGGTTTCACCGAAGTGGTAAACGTCTGAGACCTGCATCACTTCGGGCTTTCCTCCCACATTAAGCTGACACGCCGCGATATAACTGGAATACTGTTAAAAGCGGCGTTAAACTCAACTCACTCACTCACTCGAAACTGGGATAATCGTCGTTGGTCACGTGTCATGTTTTCAGATGAGTCCCGATTTGCACTTGGTAGGCGTGGTCGTTTCTGGCGACGTCGAAAAGAACGTCAAGCCAACGTCAACCTGAGATTGCATGACAGATTTGGCGGTGGATCGGTTATGGTGTGGGGTGGCATCACTATGACTGACCGAACCCTATTACATATTGTGCAAGGAAGAGTCACTGGACAGTACTATCGAGACAACATACTGACAACCTTTGTTGTCCCGTTTGCAAGGCGTGCGGGTCGACGTTTTGTCTTTCAGAACGACAACGCCTGGCTCACCGCGCACGAATCGAAGAGTCCCACAGATGACATCCTTACCTTGTCAGCTTGCTGACGGGGTTAACCTCTTTGGTCATGTGGACAAGGCGTCCGACCTCGGATCAGAAGGTCCGTGGTTCGAATCCCATCACGGGACTCGGAAATGTTATGGCCGCTACATTGGCGCCCAACGTGGGGCTGACCATGTTCATATTAAATTTGAGCAAAATAAGCCTCAGTAAACGACTATGCGGCCCGGGACGTGCCTTCAGCATCTGTTGACGGGGAAGTATGTCGCCGGGCGTGGAGTCATCCCACAGATGCCATCAATGAGCCCAAACCTTTTCCCCATTGAACACGTATGCGTCAACGTCATAGGTCACAGGCCACGTTGGCTGAACTTGGTCCGGCGCTGCAAGAGGAGTGGGACAGACGCCCTCAAATAGCCATTAGGAGACTCATACGCAGTATGCCTCGGAGACTAACATCTATTCTCAAATTGAACATATTTTACAGGAACAAAGAGTTCTTAAATTACAGTTATTAATTATAAAAAGGAGCACAGAGACTCCTGATACTGCAGTAAAGACTTGCCAAACATTATAGACTTGCATGGGCTGTATTGGATATATTTGTTTCAGGGTCTGTATGACAGACTATTTAGTCGAGTGAATGAATGTTTGACAAAGTGTAGTGGTATTTAGCACTACTGATCCAAAAAACGCCCATTTTTAAATTTCCCATCTTTCCCCTGTCGTCCTTAAGGACGTTGGCTGTCATCTACTGTGAACATCTACCGTCATACTTCAATGTGTTCCCAATTCGTTCATTAGTATTAGACAACTATTATTATGGAAACTGATATATTTTAAGAATTTGGAAATTTTGAGTTATTTACGAGTATCCCCCACTTTTTGTGAAGAGTTGGGCTACGCCCAATGCCGGCTAGGTACGACGACTCACCATCAGCCATCAACCTTACGACTGGGGGCCAATTCTATACCTGCATCCCCACGGGTTAAACATAGCTGAGTTTTATTTCTGAAAAACATAAACACGAATATGACACCTATGTCCTTGGGGTTTTAAGCCATAGGTACATGATTTTGATAACTACAGTGTACATACTCTCCAT